ACATATGCGGACAACAGTGCATGCTGAAGTGAAAGTAATACTTGGCTGTATTGACTAGTTCATAGTTGAATCAATGGACAAGAAGTTGAAACTTATGCTATAGACAGAATCATCCAAGCCAGTGATTTTTGACACTTTTTTTATCTCATGGCACATATAAATTAATTACTAAAATTCTGCAGCACATCAACAAATATATTTTTGCTGATATCACAAAATAATAAGTATAATTTTGAATCATTCACAACAGCTATTGTTATGTTGGCTGTTTTCATTTTTTTAATTTAACAATCTAAGGGAAAAGAGGTCCATGACCATGACTAAAGTCAGGTACTGCATACTTTAAAAATCCTTAAGGCACCCCAGTGTGCTGTGGCATGCTGGTTGGAAATCACTGATGTAGATGTCTGTATTTCACAATTACTTAAAGTTCACTAAACTAGATGCTAGAGACAAGGAACCTACAGAGGCAAAGACCCAGCAGGTGAAGGGAAAAGTTAAATGAAGAAGCATTAAGTTTCAGAGAAAGGCACAGATACCTTCTCAGATTTGTGCCAAAGAAACAACTGGATGCAGGCACAGAGATTTATTGGAGTGAGGAAAAGGGTGAGGCTGCTCTTGCAAATGACTTCACCTCCTCAATTGGTTTAAAGGACCATTCTCTTGGGGCTTCCCATTCTTCTGAGTAAGGCTCACTTTGCTGGTGAGCATCCTTGTTTAAAAAGTTGACTGAAGAGCCATTACACATACAAATCAGTCAACAACAAGGTAATCAGGAATAAGTTAACAACTTTTCAAATATGATGTTTGGGGGAAAATATACTCTTAAGATCAACCTGGGCTTAGAGCCACCTTCAGAAACGGCTATGCTCTGATTAAGATCCATTCTCTTGTCCCCTCTTTTCACACACCATTTTCCAATGCAGAGATGAGGTCTGACATCTGGAAAAGACAGGTGTCTGACAAATGCAAAGACTCTCTACCTTCATATTAATTGTCTGGCTAATAGATAAGTGGATGAGAAAGGTGTGGAGAAACTAGTCATTGGAAATCTAGCTTCCTCATGTCCTCCTCATCACCCTTTTCCATTGACTCATTCTAGCCCAAAATATATTACATTCTTCACAGCCAAGCACAAACCTCCCAAGAAAGCTATTTCGTACCATTGAAGTAACTACTGGACATGTTTGACCTTCCCTGTTCAAGGACAGTCTCTTCATTAGGCAGCAAGACAATCTTATGTTGTATACAGGGTAAACAACAAAAAATGATTGGTCAGCTGCAAAGAATGTCATATGTGTACCTGTGCATGTGTGTCTGTATGCACACATATATTCATCACCAGAAGGAAACAAAATAATTATTTATGTAATTTATATATACACATATATATAACACAACATTGCATTTATCTGTGAATAATTCATTTTTATAGAACAACATAGAATAATGGGATTCATTAAAAAATATCAGTGGTTAAGTTTTAAGTAAGAATTCTATAGAGCTTGTTTAATCCCTGGGAATCTGATTTGCATCAAATGTATATTTTGACTTTGTGTTCTATCATGATCATTTATTGCTACTTTCTAATTTTTTAATTTTCTACTAAATGCTTTACATTTTAAAATAAGTTGGGTAATTTGCACACAAATTTAAAAACAGAAATTCTTTTGACTTAAAAAAAAAGAGGAGCAGATATTTGGCATTAGCATGGAGCATAAATTATACTCTGGTACACTTATCCAAAAGGGTTAAGACCAAAGAAAGAATCTGCTTGCTTATTAAAAATGCAAACATTACCTCAGTCATACAAATGGCCCCAAACTCGCCTGCCCACAGCCTCTGCAGATCACCCACCAGCGTTAGCATTACATCATATGACATTACGGAACAATAGTGAACTCTGTGTAATACTTGAATATATTGTTTTGGAAGAATAAACTGTCATTAACTTGAATAAAAGCTTTCTGAAATCAAACCTGGGGGGTAGAGCCCTCACTGTGTGGCCCTTTTACTACTTCAAGAAACAGCCTTATCCTGAAAGCAGCAAAAAGGGAAAAAAGAGATTAGCGGATAAAGGCAACAGTGATGAGTGGCCCCAGCAGGCAGCCGGCAGGGCTTCAAATTATCGGGCAATGCAGGAGGCACAGCCTCACACCCATCACTCTATTTCCTATTACAGCCTAGTGATTTGAACAATGGGTTTTGCCAGAGTTGGAAACTGAGTCGTACTCTATGTACAAAATTGTTAAACGCTTGATGTCCTGATGCCATCAGAAGATGGGCTATCACTTACAGCTATGGGATTTTAGGCACTGAATTTAAGCTCTGAGCACCAATGTTTTAACCTATAAAATGGAAAGAATAACAGCTATTGTGCAGAGGTATAGGGGGAGGGAATTAGCTATTATGATGATCACAATTATACTTATTATTTCCGCCCAATTGTCCTCATTGCCTATCTTTTCTAATCACTGTCCAAGGTGTTTCTACTTCACAGTGAAACACGAGCATCAACTTAAATGCTCACTTGCTTTGTTTGTTTCCTGCAGTCTGGCCATTGTCACATGTTGCTATTTCTATTTTCATGCCACTCTCATCAAATGATTTCTCTATATTTCTAAATCCTAGATCACGTCTTAATTGCAGCCTGCTACTCACTAGCTTTCCTCCCTCGTACCTATTCTCAATGTTCTCCACAACCAAAATTCAAAGAGGTGAAAAAACAAAACCAGAGCAACATAGCTAGTTGGTGGCCAAGTCCAATGAAAACTTAGGTATCAATACAACCAAGTCCAGTTGCACTGCATTAACTCTACCACATTCATTATTCACTTTAAAATTCCCAGTGATCATTTTAAATGTGAGGTTAACTTCCCTTAACACCACGCCTTTTCCCAGATGTTTCCCTACTGGTCAATTTAATATCATAAAAAATGAATTATTTCAAATGCTTAAAAAAGAAACATAATCTCAGAAAATTATTAAACACATCTCAATGTTCTAGGGGTTTTGTTTTTTAGTATTTCCCTAAAGCAGGGACAAAAATTGGTCATATAAGGCTTTACCCAGGAGTAGAAGACTTTGGGAGGAGAAAGGATGCACTAACAGGAAACAGAGCCAGGAAAATTCTGACTGTGAGCAGTACCGCACTCAATTCCAGAAGGGATGGAGTAGAGAATACCAATGTCCACCTCTAAGTTTCTAAAGATAAAGGCTATATCTTTTAATACTATTGTGCAAGGATATGTGAAGATGGAAATTTCATTAATATTGGCTCTTTTGAAGAATCACATCAACCCTCAAAATCATGAAAACTAATAAGAAGATGGGTAACAGGATGTCATGTGTTGTTTTATGTAAGAGCCAGAAGAGTTTGCCAAAGTCTAAGTCTAAGGACTGTGGGGAACGGACTAAAAGCTTGTATTGCCTCATCGGTAAAACAGATGAAGTACTAGGAAGAATGGGTTGATATATGGATCATCTATAAAGTACCATTTATTTTTATATTTTCTTTTTTTAAGTATAGTGTGGAATACTGTAACTATTACAGAATTTTATATCAGTGATGAAGGCTGAAGTTCAACCTCTCTATTGGCCAGCTGTCTAACTGATCTAGCACAAATCATTCAAACATATTTAATGATATAAGAATTAAAGGAATGATATGTGTATGGAGAGGCCTTTAAAATAGATATATAGCCCTGGCTGGTGTGGTTCAGTGGATTGAGCACTGGCCTGCAAACCAAAGGGTCACCAGTTTAATTCCCAGTCAGGACACATGCCTGGGTTGTGGGCCAGGTCTCCATTTGGGGGCACATGAAAGGCAACCACACAATGATGTTTCTCTCCCTCTCTTTCTCCCTCCATTCCCCTCTCTCTCACAATAAATGAATAAAATCTTTAAAAAAAAGGTATGTAAATGTAAGATAACTTATATTCCTATACATTGTACCAGACTAAAAAATGGAGGACATTATGCTCATTTTATGCATCCTAATCTTTTGAGGGAGAGGGAGACAGAAAGAGAGATTCTTATAGTAGAAACCCCACTCCATTAATAGAAAATCATCACTACTACTTAATGGAGACATAAAAATAAGAAAATAAATTAATATACTTACTAATATAAATAAAATATAGAATATAATTATTAAATAAACAATACAATTCATATTAAAAGGTAACTACCTCAATATACACTAATGAGGAGGGCTGATGCCTTGTATCACTCTCTCCCCTCAATATAAACATTTTCCTCTCATACAATATGGTTGCCAGAATTTTATACCTGTATTTTTTGAACCATAAGATGCACCTAGATTTTAGAGGAAAATAGGGAAAAAAAACTTTAAAGCAAAAAAATGTGGTAAAATATTTAATAACATAAATAACAATATTTCACCAATGTAAATGTAAACAGAACTCAAGAGCAGCATTAACAACCATTATTCCTCCCAAATTGTGAGGAGAGGGCATCTTATAGTCCAAAAAATACAGTAATTAAATGTGTATCAGTGGTCATGGAGATTTTCCTCTATGAAGAAAATCTTCATATGGGTGGATCTGAACTAGTCCACCCACAGTCCAGACGAAGAATAAAAATCATGGAAATATAACAGGTGAGGGCCAACTCCAACATCATTCACTCACTCACTTATTCAGATCCTACTTTATATCAAACTCCAGGCCAAGTGCTAAGGATTTGACACATGGAACCGAGGCTGTCATGGAGCACACATTCTACTGCAGCAGAAAAGTACAGACAGTAACAAAATAAACTATGCAGCAGGTCAAAGATGAATCAGTGCAACAGAGAAAAACAGGCAGGGAAAAGGGCTGCAATTCTAAATGGGACAGTCATGGAAGGCTTCACAGAGAAGATGCCATTTTAAGCAAAGGCCTAAAGGAGGTGAGTAAAACACACAGGTATCTGGGGAGAGTAGTGGGGCTATGCAAACCTTTCCAGCAAATCCAGAAAGTCAAATGTAAGCCCTTACCTTTCAAAAGTGGTTGGAAGGTTGGAATCTCTTGCAATTTGATGACATCAGGATCATTGCTGACATTCCGTGAGGCCTGGGAGCCCTGAGCTACAACCACGATGTCATCCATCTTGGCTCTATGCTTAGCTGGAGAAGGAGTCACTGAAGATAAAATTACCTTATTTAGTCACCTCTGTCTCACCAAAGCTGCTTCACTGTAGTCAATAAACAAGCTGCTTCACTGTAGTCAATAAACAGAATATTTTTATACAACAACAAAAAAAATGCTAACTGGATTTATCCTGCAGTGGGGTCATAAGTAAGGGACAAGAATCAGGGAAGACCTCTATTTTCTATAGTAGTTTAAAAAACTCAAACATTACAGGAATATATATGAAATTGTTTTTGCAACTTAAAATATTTTACTATTCAACACACAAAAGAACAGCAGATTGTGTTTTTAATTTTTAATTCTTTGATCTGCCCTGGCCGGTGTAGCTCAGTGAATTGAGCTCAGGCTGCAAACCAAAGGGTCACTGGTTTGATTCCCAGTCAGGGCATATGCCTGAGTTGTGAGCCAGGTCCCCAGTGGGGCCATGTGAGAGGCAACCATACATTGATATTTTTCTCCCTCTCTTTCTCCCTCCCTTCCTCTCTCTCTAAAACTACATAAATAAAATCTTTAAAAAAATAAAAATAATAAATTCTTTGATCTTCTTTATGTCTGTCCCTATTTTACCAATGAAGAAATAGGGGTACTAAATTTGGCTGTGATTTGTCCAAGATCAACAGCACTAGACACAGATCAGGAAAGGAACTGGAGGTCTACAGATTGTTGGTATACATGACCCATCCCTGTGACACAGCAGTTGCAAAGCTGTCTAGCCACCCATCACAGCAAACCAAGTATGTTTAACAGGTCCTACTTATGGAAAAAACAAAACAAAAAAAGCCCTGACACTCAACCCTAGATAATGGGTGTATTTCTCAGCCACCAGCCACCTCACCCTTAAAGTTACAGGCATTAATTAGTCCAGAAGGTAAATAAAATAATCAGTAGGTCCCTTCTAGACTGAGGCAAAATTAAAAAACTTGGAGGATTGCTAGAGAGGTGGTCAATTTCAGGTCTCAGGAAAATGTAACCTACTTTGTAGGAAGTGATTCAAACCACCAAGGTCTTCTTAACCCAAGACATCCTCCACTCACCATATACTTTCCTGCTTGGGGCCAGAACAGGCCTTTAAAGTATTTTACACTCTATAAGGTAGTATTTGCAAGCTCATCAGTCAGGTTCTCAAAGGTTGGTCCACAGATGCCACAGAACTGCCCTGCCTCCTAGAGGCTAGAGTCTCCCATGGCATGGCATTCACTCTTCCAGAATCTCTGCTTTTATTGCTCTTTAAAAAACGTCTCTTGGTACTTTACCTAACGCACCCAAGGGTTAAAAGGCTGTACACCTGTCACACACCTGAAAAGGAACCTCTAAGACCCATTTTTAAGAAGGAACCTGTTCATAGAGGTTCCGTCTGCGATCCATCCACCGTGAGAACCAAGTGTCACTGTGTCAGTCTGAGTACCAAAGCCAATAATCAATCAGGTCATCTTTTAAACAGGTTGTGGCTGGGAGAAACAGCTGTTTTGACAATAAATAATGGGTATGGGCACCTATGCTGGCTTAGCTTGCGGGGACAGGCACTCACATCCATCGAGGGATTTAAGGTTAGGACTTTTTTTTATATATATAAGAAAAAAAAATGCACGGTGAAGGTTTTCTGTGCGTCCCAGTTCACGGGTCCCAGACCCTCTAGGCTGGGAGGCAGCAGGCTACGCACGCCGACACGACTGGCTGGAGGAGGTGGAAGTTAGGGCACCGACCTGAGGAGTTCAGATCGTTGGGTCGGCTCTCGGCCTCGGAGCTCTGCTCACTGCCCATCGTGCCGGCAGCGATGGCAGCGGAAGAACGGTGGGGCTGGCGATCACCGTTCCGGCGGGGCGACAGGGCAGGGACTAGGACTAGTACGGGATTGCACTGAGTCAGGGAGCCGCAGCGGGGCCGCCGTGTGCGGAAGGTGCGCTCAGCCCACGTAGGGGAACCGGCGATGGGGAATGAAGAGCCTCTATTTGGGGAACCGATGCGCAAGGCGGGGAGAAAAGGCAGCACGCTGTTCCCCCGCCTTCCTTAAAGGAATCCCAAGGAGAGGGAAGCATAGAACACCGGGCTTCAGCCTCGCCCTCCACTGGCCAGCAGTACCGCTCTCGCTCACTCGCAGAAGCGCCGCCGACTGCCTCCTTCCGGGACTCGGATTGGCTGCGCTGGCTGCGCAGGCCGTCAGTTCCGGGTTAGAGGGCCACTGCCCCTTGCCCCAGCTTGGGCGGGGAGACTTGCGCAGGAAACTAGGGCGACGCCCACTTAAAGGGCCCAACTGCCTGAAAACCAGACACACCCCAAAGAGTGAGCTTCCTGTTGCACTGATTTGTCACCTTTAAGCATCATATACACATTAGGCATTGTATCCTTATGTTTAGAACTTTACAACATAGATTTTTTTAAACTTTGTTTTACAGATAAAGCGAGGTGCTAGGTAGAGTTAGGATCCGAATCCACAATTGTCTGGATACAAAGGCAGTGGACAACCATACAAAAAATACTAAATGATGAAAGAAGGAGCTGGAAATGAGACGCAAATGGTGTGTGTGCATCTTCAAAGGAAAGTGGAAGCCACTTCAATCACTTTCTGGGGGCCTTGACAATGATCAGGAAGCTACCATCCTGAAACAAGCAAAGGCAAGAAAAGTATATAGGAAAAGCGAAACGGAAACTGCCAGTTTGGGCAGGTCAAGGACGTGACCTAGCAATGCAATGCCATCACGGAGTTGGTACAGCCTGGGATTCTCAGAACTTTGCGACTCATTTTATATATATTGTTTGCTTCAAGAAATTTCAAGCAAATGCCCTAAGATTTTATACACATACATATAACCTCAGAAGGAGTGCCAAATTTACTAAATGACTGAGTCCCTTCTATTCTATATCACAGACATTCCCCCTATTTTATTTTATTTAATTTTCACAACAACTGAGTCCCATAAACAGGTAACGTCCCCAGGCAGAATTAGTATTTAGTACTGTCTGATTTCAAACAACAGGCTCTTTCTTCTACTCAGCATTACAATACTGTGGGGAAAAAAAGTGTAAATGAATGCAAATTTAATATTCTGTGGGGTTATGTAGAACTAAAAACTACCTGAGAGATCAGAGTAAGCTTCTGGGAGGTGGTGTTTGCCTAGTCTTGAGGTTTACACAAACCACCAGTCTGATGGGACTGGGAAGGGCCTACTAAGCAATGTGGCCATGTCCTCCTGGAGAACCTTTCTCTTCCCTCCCATATATGCCCTCCTCTGGGGTGGGTGAGAGAGGAGATAAAAGGGGAATGCATAACTCATATTCTAGCTCTTATTATTCCACATCAAAGCATATGTATCCTATATTCCATACCCTACTTGATGCTGATGTGATGACATTTTTCATGCTTCCCTTTAGATGAACATTTCATTCTAAAAGGGATATTATATTCTGTTCATCAGAGGAATTGATAAATGTATCATCCCGTTCTCTACTGATTTGCAAGGTCTTTGGCTGAGACACAACTGATAGATAGCCTTATGAAAGTTACTTTGATAAGAAAAATTTTTCTAGCTCCTTTTAAAATTATATCTTTGTCTTTAATTTTAAACAGTTTTATTGTAATTTGTCTTGCTGAAGAATGTTTTGCATTGAAATTTTGAGGTGATGTATTAGCTTTATAAACTCGGATATCCAAATCTCTCCCCAGAACTTAGAGAAGTTCTCAGCTATTATTTCTTTAAGTGAGATTTCTACCCCATCTCCTTCTCTTTTCCTTCTGGGACTCCAATGGCACCTACTTTGTTTCTCTTAATGGTGTCCCATATGTCCCATAGGCTTTTTAAAATTCCTTCTCATTATTTTTTCTCTTTGTTCCTCTGATTGCATAATTTCAATCTGTCTTCTGCACTAATTTTAGCTCACCGATATTTTTTTTTCTGCTTAGTCAAGTCTGCTGTTGAAGCCCTCTGTTGAATTCTTTAGTTCAATGTATTCTGCTTCAAAATTAATTTTGACTTTTTTATGTTTTTTATCTCTGTTGAACTTCTCATCTTCTTGTATTGGTTTACTGATATCATTAAGCTACTTATCTGTGTTTGTTACCAGTGGACAAGACTCTACCTTTTGCCACCCCTTCTCAACAAGCCGAGCTAAGGCACCTGTGACAAGCTGCATGAAGGAGGGAGCACCCTCTGAGGGTGGGGCAAGGAGCCTGGAAGCTCGGCTGATCACAGCATCTTGGTGGTGCAATGCCTGGCTCCCAATCAGCAGGAACCCTGGAGGACACCAGGAGTGGCAGGGTGCTGCCTCCTGCACTGGGAGCAGTGGTTGGTCCTGGCCACAGCAGAGCATTCCCTCCGAATTAGTGGAGCTTCCTGGGAGGGGCCTGGAGGGCAGGGAAGCCGGGCAGCCTCAGGACCCAGCAGAGTAGGGGAGTCTCTCCCCACTGGCAGAATGGTGGCAGAATGGCAGTAGAGGGAGCTTCTTTTTAAAAGATTTTATTTATTTATTTTAGAGAGAGGTGAAGGGAATGAGAAAGAGCAGGAGGGAAACATCAATGTGTGAGAGTAACATCAATCAGTTGCCTCTCAAATGTGTCCCCCAACTGGGGACCTGGTCCACAATGCAGGCATGTTCCCTGACTGGGAAATGAACTGGCAACCATTCACTTTGCAGGAGGATGCTCAACCAACTGATCCACCCCAGTCAGGGGAGAGGAAAGTTCTTACACTGAGTGTGCTAAAAGCTGGAAATGTGAATGGACAGGTCCCTAGTATACACGGAAAGCTGGAAAGATGAGTGGACATGGCCACTAGCGGGCCAAAAGCTAGAAAGATAATAGGACAAGGGGAAAAGCCCTTGCCCTCAGCCTTCCATGACAGAATGAGGATGGGACCAGGGGAAGGCAGGCACATGGCCATAGAAACCAGAAAGGTGGCAGGAAGAGGTTCTGGACCCTTTTTTTTCTGGGGAAAGAAGGAATTGGTTGGAAGGTGGACCCACCAAAAGTGTGTGAAAGTTTAGGAAGTTGATTCTTTTTCTGAGAAAGTACCTGGCCCAGCCCATACCCAAAATGGATATAGCCCCAGGGGAACAAAGAAACTGTCTTTCCTTCTTGCTCCTTGCTTGCTGCTTAGGACCAGCTCTGCTCTCTTACTCATTGCTTGTTGCTTGGAACCTGCTCTCTCTTGCTCATCCCTCACTTAGCAGTCACGTGGCCCATAGCGTCCAGGAGGTAGTCAGAAGGTAGTCTATCTCTCCTCTTTCTCTTCCTCTCTCCCTGACCTGGTTAAGCATTTGCTGGTGTGTTTGGGTGTTCTCCATTTAGGAGCATGTGACCTTTTGGCCCTAGCAGTTGCATGGCCATGGCTATACCGGCTCCATACACAGCCTCCAGGAGGGAGCCCGAAGCTGGACAGCAGCTGAGAATAAGGTAAGCCACCTGGATGATCGCTGAGTAGCTGCCTAGGGCCCCATAGGATGGTACTTTAAAATGGGGCAGTAATTCTGGGTCATTCCTTTTGTTCTGGTCTTGCTGAGGATGGCTGGGTTTTATCTGGGTTTGCAGAGGAGATGAGCTTTGAGAGAGGGAGTCCCTCATTCTCCCAGATGGCTCAGCATTTGAAGAAAACCTTTTCCTTTTGCATCAGCACCCACCTCACAAGTTTGGCTTTTGTGGTGACAGGCATCCAAACCCCCATTTTTTCTTTGTTCAGTAATGTGTGCTCTTGTAGCTGTCTGAGCATCTCTGAAATGATTATTTTGAATTCTTTTTCGGGCAATTCCTAGAACTCCATTTCTTTGGGGCTGGTTACCGGAAGTGCACTGTATTCCGTTAGTGAAAACATATTTCCCTGGGTCTTCATGATCCCTGTAGCCTTGAGTAGGTGTCTGCACATTGGAAGAAGCAGCCATTTCCTCCAGACTTCGTGGACTGACTTCAGCAAGGGGAAATTTTCACCTGCAGGTGGAGGCACTCTGGAGCATGTCATGTCCCCAGTGGTACAGGGCACCAAGTGCAGGGACATGTGGGGGCACAGGGCACGGAGGGGCATGATGTCTTTTTGGCTCAGGCCACAGGAGTCCATAGAACCAACTACTCTGTAAGCCTTGGCAAGCACTGTGGGATATTTTCAGTGGCTGGAATGTCTGTTGGAGTCTTACGTGGCACCTGCAGCTTCAGTTGCAGAGGGCCGGCAGTAGATGCCTATGTAGAGCACGGGGCAGGTTGCAGACACACGGTAGTGGGAGGGGCTGGGGAATGCAGCAAGTTCTAGTGCCAACTACATGCTCACTGGCAGTTGTAGGGTCTCTAGTTGTTAATGTGCACTACTGTGGCTGCTGGGTCTTGCCAAGGCAAAAGAGACAGGGCTCTCTCCAGAGGTATGCAGGTGCACAGTTGGAGGGGCTAGCTGCAGATGAGTGCAGTGGTACAGGCCAGTGATGCAGGACAAAGCCAGATCCAGGCCCACAAGCAGCTGTGTGTATGTGTGTGTGGAGAGGGGGAGAAGTGGTGATTGGTATGGTTTCTTGTGGCTGCACAATCCCCTCAGGTGTACACACTACAGTGAAGATTGCTGACAGGTATCAGGCCTGCAGTACTCAAATGCACTGCTGGAGGGGCTAGCCGAAAGTGTGTACACAGCAGTGGAGGTTGACTGTGGGGGTCTAGGCTGCATCTTGCACTCATGCAGCCACAGAAGCCTGCACTGGTCGCCAGTGTGGTTCTGGGTATTGGAGCAGGGGAGAAAGCAGGGAAGGAATCTGGCATCAGTCAGCAGCAAATAGAAATACCTGTGGGGTAAAAGTTGTGAAATCTGTGCGGCCTTTACGGCACCTGTGCTCACCATTGGTTTCTTCAGCAGTGCAATTTGCTGGGTCTGTCTGCAGGGCAGATCACCAAGCGCCTCAATCGTCGTCATGTAGCTGCTATTGTAGCCCTTGATTTTCTTCTGCATTCCTAGCCATGTGTGCTGGTCTCAGCTTTGCCAGTAGGAGTGAGGTGCCCCGAAAGTCTGGTGCCTCACCCAGCTCTTCCTATCTCAGTGAGGGGAACTCTCTCTTGCTGGGAAGTTCCCTCTTGGCACTAAGCAATGCTGGCTTAGGGAGTGGGATGGTGCAGACAAAATGAAGCTGTCTTCCTTCTCTTCTCATGCTATTATTCTC